GCTAGGACCACTTCTCCAGCAGGAAACACGTGCGATTTGCCACCGCTGGAAAACCTGTTTTGTCAGGAGTAGACTCTCTCTCCAAAAGAGTTTAAAGGCAAACAGGGCTGGGTCGCTTTCACTACAAGACGTCAGGCCGGCGGGCGGAAACTTTTAGGCGAAATAATACCACGCCCCAAAGCTCCTACGGACGAGCCACTAGGAGACCCACAAAGTGTGTCTAGTTCATAAAAGTTCCGTGCAGGTTTTACAAGCATAAATACTTGTGTATACATCAGTGTGTGCTTGTATACGTGTATGTGCCGATATACTCGTGTATAGACCTCTACACTAACACACATCCCTCTCATGGCGTTCTTGCGCAGAAAAATAAGACAAGGCATTATTTGATCCACGCCTTTATAGTGCTTCTCTGGGTCTCTTTCTCCAACCCGCCTCCCCTGCCTTCCTTACGGGATTTAGCTACACCCCGAAAGCCCTGAGAAGACGGACAAGCCACGCAACTCCCTTGCGGGCTTTTGAAGAATTTGCCAGCGAGGACCCATTCTCAGAACAAAAGGAGCAAACGCAGCCAGGGTGGGTTATAAGACAGAACTGCGAAAGATACCGCTCGGGCTCCCTGCTCCAACGCCAGATTACAAGCCTTTGACTGAGTGCGGGGTGGGGGGGAGGGAGAGATAAAACCCACTTCCTGCGTTGGTCGCCCCACCTCTGAGCTAAACCATCCTATTCAACTACCTTCCCCTCTCCCCCCGGCTTGCGCTAAATCCCATCTTTACACCGTATCGCTGACACGCCAGGAATACCCCCCCCCCTGAACAGTGCAAACCCTCTGAGCTGCTGTGGAAAGAAAGAAGGGGTCTGTGAGATTCTGGGGTGGGGGGGGGGAGATCTGTGTGATTGGGGTGGGAAGGAAAATGGTGCGTATGTTAGTGGGCGAAGCCTCTGCCCCAGCACTCAGCCTCTTCCACGTTGCGTGGCTCTCCCCCCTCCTCTTTACCTTGTGGTTTTGGTAGGAAGTCACGGCGATGAAGGCCGTCTCCGGAAAGACATGGGTGCAGAAGGCGGTGTTTTTGGAGCCGAATCCGTTATTCTCGTCCGCTTTCACGATATGGAGCCTGGGCTGGTATTTGTGCATGGAGTTCAATATGATCTTGAAAAGAAAAAGAGACACAAGGGGGGTGTCAAGCATCGAGGCCTAGATCCTTCACTCTTTCCTCAGGCCAAGAGCCCCCTGCCAGGGCTTTGGGGGGGGGGCTTCGCTTGGGAAAGGGGCGCCTGAGGAAACCCCAAGTGAGCTGGTTTGATCATTCATAGACTTCACGTCCCCCTAAAAATGTGTGGGGTTGTTTTGCATCTTTATGGGTCTCCCAAGGAGTAGAAATAGTTGAACTTATTTTCTGGGGAACAAGGCAGACCTTCTCCTCCACTGAACGCCAGCCCCTTGACACGGGAAGCAGAAATAAGCAGTGAGACTATTTCCCACCAGGAATATAAAATTCATCTCAACAAGGAATCTACAACCAGCCTGGCCATAAATCTTGTTCCTCGCTAAACATGATCTTGCAATAACAGAACTTTAGAGAACTTGAGGGACACGCGTGTGCCTGGGTGTAACATACATATTTACATTTAATAAAAGCCACTGGGCCAACAGTTCTCCCGGGTGCAATGGAATGACCTTAAATTGCAGCATTTGGCTCGCTGGCTCTGTATCTCAGGGGAACGGTTTGTCTCCTGTTTTATTTTGACTGCCTACGCAGTACAATTATTGCTGGGCTAGTCCCATTTATTGTGGGTGGGGTTGAGTACGAAAGGAAATCCGACCCATCAGACATTACATGATAGAATTCCTGGGGCTCGTAAGTTTAGTCATTATTCAGATGGTGGGAAAGGCCTGAAATGAAGACCCAGGTGGCGTGATAACTACACTGGATTTCCCTTAAGTGCCTTCTTCAAGGATGAAGCTGTCTCAGGGATGACCCTGGAGGGGATTATTTAGCACTGTGCAAGGGGAGCAGCTGCCCTCACAACTGGGGTGGGGGGTGTAATTATTTTTAAGCCAACACCCTGAAGGTAGCACTTGCCTCTCCCCTGAAATGTCTCTGTTTCTTTGACTCGCCTGTTGCCCCCTTTTTAAACTTGTCCACTTTTTAAAAGCTAAAAAAGCTGGCGGAAATGGTTTGAATTGCCAAAATGGCCACCGCTCTTTATAAAAAGAGCATTTTCAAAAATACTTGGAGGATTTTTTCCCCCCGAAAGATCCACGAACTTTTTCCAAGAACAATCTCGGGGGGTCGCCATTTTCCCAACTGTTTCTAGCTATAAAATCAATAGTTGGCCCAGATGTTACCAAATGTCAAAATAAGAAAGCATGGCTCCTCATTTGGATACACAGCAGGGCTGATCTGGGCTGGCCCCCATTCCAGGTTCAGCCTTCACCCTGATTTCTTTCTCCGAGAGCTAATCATGCTTCTCAATGGCTCAGCCCAGCCAAAGAGACCTGAATGATTTTTCTAACCCAGCCACCCATCTCTGCATAGACTTCTCTGGATGCCAGCGTTGGTGCCCACCATAAAACCAGATACTGTCTCTTTCCAAAGCTTGGCATTCAACTGGGATTAATCCTGGAAGAAAAGATTCTCTCTCTCTCTTCTCCCCCCCCCCCTCCTTACCCTCCCTTGGGTTGTAGTCTGTAATGATAATGACTGCTGCAAAACTCGGCGACAGACAGACGCAGTCTGTCCCGCCAGCCCCGGCCCCTGCAAGTCATCTTTGCCTGCCAGGCCCTCTCATCCTGGGGCTTTAGCCAAATTGCTTTGACATCCCGGTAAGTCGTGGACATCAACGGTCAACGATCTAATGATTTTTAATTTCATTACAGCGACTCTAATTGAGGGACCACTGGTGCCGCTTCTCCTCTGAAGTCCCTATTGTTTAGCACGGCCTTAGGTTTGTTTAAAGAGACTTTTTCATATCGCCGCCTGCTCACAGCAGGGAGTAAAATGGCTGCTGGCCTCTTCCTTCCAAGGGCATCTCCTATCAGCCACCCGCCGCCCCCTTCCTTCCCTAAAACTTTCTTTGAAGCCTCGGTCCTTGGGGTGGGAGAGTTTAGAAGGGGAAGTTGCTGGTGGAGTCTAAACCTCCAAACACAGGCACGATTCCCCCTCTCCTGGAGTTTGGGCAGGAATCTCAATTCCTGGAAGGGACGCTTCTCCACCCATGCTGAATGAAGAACCACAAGGAGAGCCTATGCCCTATTTTGAGGAGCTGGGGGAGGGATAGATAAACCACAGGGCGATTAAGAGGCGGAAGGGGGGGGTAGATTAGGTTGGGATCTCACATCCATCCTACAGTTCCTCAGTAAGTGTCCCCCCCCCCACACACACACACTTCATTGTGCTAGCCATCTGCATTAGCAGGCCACATGGAGGATTCATTCCATCAGTGGAGGCCACGTGTCTATGGATTTCATGGCACAAGATTTGTCGTTTTTAAGAGAATCAACGTGTTGAAATGAGACTGGAAAATGCACTCTTGGAAACTGGACACGGGGGATCTTGATTCATCCGCTCTTGTCTAATTATAAATATTTTTGTTCCAAGGAAGACCTTTGAAAAATGATTGTTCCTGGCTTGGCAATTCACACGCGCCTTTTCGTGCCTGACCCTACGCCTATAGGGCTTGCAGCAATGGTTTGTGTATGAAGCGCTAGCAGGGTTTCTTTTTGAGCCTCGTTCCATTTTGAATGGGAGACCACAAAACACACGACGTTGTATTTCCGTGAATAATTATGCCTGATTTTTACCTTTAACCCAATTCACGGCGGCAGCGAGCAGATTTTAAAGCGCTAAGGCGCCACGTGAGGTTAAAACCAGGTAGCTAAATAGTTACTCACTGAAGCTTGGCCTGGCCAGCCTGTTTTTAAGAACACTGTCAAGGTGCAAACCTGCATGAGCAACTCCCAGTCCATACAGCTAAATACCCAAATTTCAAGAACGAACATGAATTCAGATGTATCCACTCGCCCACTGACGTTCCCAACCCTATAACACTGGGAAGGACCTCGACTTCCCTGGGCCGCCACTCCTTGCCCATGTTCAACACCGAACAATATAGGCAACGCGGTGCAGAATGCAGACCGAGGCTAAACTGCTTGCAAATGAAAACAGGGCCCCAGAGCGGTTCTTGTGTTCTATTTCTGGTGAGAGAGAGAATCCTAAAATGAGGACCTCTACAGGTTATCTACTCCAGTCACCTGCTCTGCTGTAGGATGGGGGGGGGGGGGGGGGGGGGGGAGGAGTGTGTATGTGAACATGAATTTTTTGCTTCATACATGGATACAAAAAGTACCATGCTGGTTATGTTCAAGGCTAATTAGTTCCATTGCCTGTCTTCCCCCGTTGCATTATTCCCTTACATTACAGGCTCAGAAGCGTTGCATCTGGCCCATAGAGGATTTCTGACGGTTTTCCTTTTCCTACGAATGACACTCTACTGTCTCTCTAAACAGACCTGCAGTCTGCGCTTTGTCGTGTCCCCCTACAGCTGCCAAGTTACTGGGACAACCTCCGCTCAGATCCAGCAATTTACCGCGTGGCACAGAGAGATGGCTCATGTTCACCCCCCCCCTTACCCCCACCATGTGTCTTACAGGAATGTCTGAAAATGCAACGTACAGAGTAACAGCTCAATTATAGCCAACTGTTGACAACGGTCCTAGGACGTTGTCAACCACCAGCATGCATCAAAAGCCAGTGAGTGAAATTAATACCAACGTTATTCGTATTAAACCTCTATCCCGCTCCCGCTTCTCCCCGTCCCCGCCTTGACTTTTCATTTCATCGGACAAGCAGAGATGCCACAAAAATAGCAAACGAGTGCCCCCCCCCCCAAAAAAATAAACCCAGCCTGAATATTAGCTCCCGCACCCTGCGCTGGACAAGAAGCCAACCCCAGCACGCGCTGCAAGTGTCCGAGCCCGGAGCTGGCAGACTTTTGCTGCAATGATTTTGCACCCGGCTTTGCCCATCTGAAACCAGCGGAGTTCAGGGTGGAAAGCAGGTTTCGGCGGATTGCCCTAGGGGTTGGGCTCCCTTTGGCCCTCCGGAGCGGGGACTCGGTAACGGAGAGAGGAGGGCGCCTCCTCGCGAAGGTACTTACATGTCCGAACGGGTCAAGGTGGTTGTTGGTGAGCTTGAGTTTTTGAAAAGAAACTAACTGCCTCATCCAGTGCGCCCCAGTAGCGGGTGAGTCTGGGTGGACGTAGAGCCTGCCTGGCATGGCCGGCTCTGCCTTCCCTGTCACTGACCTAAACCAAAGGGACACAAAGCCAGCTTAGCCCTCGGGACCCGCGTCAGGCCTACACACCATGTTCACAAGCACGGGGCGCGCAGGAAGGATCGGGCTTCGAACCAGGGGGAAGTGTGTCTGTCTGTCTGTCTAGCTACCGCCTTTGGTCTATTTCAGAGGAATAGGTCGCATCAGATATTGTGGCAGGGGAAGGAGACACGAACACACACTGCTCTGGACATGAATTGGGATTTTTGACACATTTTCCGTTGGATTCTCCCCCCTCCCTTCCCGTTTAACCTCTTCGTCCCCTCTTCCTAAATACCAAACGTGGCAATTCTTAACATTGACCTTCATGGCGATTTTCTCTCTTAAACGCAATTAAGTTGTTGGCCCCACGATAACCAATAGGGGCCAACAGGACTAAAGTTATTCGCTAGTTAAAATGTTGTGTGTCCCCCCCTTAAAGAGTTTGGCAAACTGGAGTTATCTCGGGATAGTCTGCAAACCCCCCCCCCCAACTTTTCTTCCTTTGTAGCTTATTAATAGCACCCGCTGACAGCTAAAAGGTATTTTTCAACCCATTTGAACTCGATTTTGCTAACTGTGCAAGCCAGACCCAAAGATTTCCTCCTATCTCTGCACCTCTCCCGTCCCCCCATGCGTGCATACCATTTATTATCTGCAAATTTGTATCTGTGATCATCCGCTGGCACAATATCCATGAGCAGTATGTACTTAGTTTTTGGATTGAGTCCAGTGACCTTCACTTTGTAGCTGGGGAACATACGCCTAAAAAAATAAACAAATAAACATAAATATAGAGACGAGAACATGACAAGAAGAGCGCAAACTCAGGCAATTGTGAGGGAATTATAGGCTAGGGTAATTCAACCAGATTAAACGAGAAACCATTCCACATCCTCCAAACACACACACACAAAACATAACTTTCCCTTTATGGTCCAACCGGGACTTTTTTCTTTCTGTGGGTATTGCTCCGCCGTTATAGTTCCTATCTCAGGCAAAATAGTTAATTAATTAAAGTTACTAGGTTTTTTAAAAAAAACTCTTCTTTTTGTCTGTGATCAATCCAGTAGTTCAGTTCTTCATTCTTTTACAATACAAGAGTATATAATCTCTTTCAGGGATAGTTATATTTCTATCCCTACAAAGAATAAATTACACTTATGTAAGTATGAGCCATTATTTGGTGGATTTTTTTTTTTGCTAAAATATTGGCCTTTTAATAAAACACATGCTCGCACATATCATATTTGTGTGCACATGTATGAAATGTTATATACACACTTACATAGGATATGTGTACACATATATACATAAACACACTTGACAAATATTTTGAAACATGCAAACACCCTTGAAAATGTGATTTTTAGAAGAAAATTCCTTTACTACAAGCAACTGACTACAAGCAATATTATTTTGGTTTGAGCTTTCCCAGGGTTCAGAAATAAGCATATGAAACTGTATTCTTTAAATTAAAGAAAACCTTAAATTTACTTATTTCTGAAATTATATTTACTTTCACATCTTTGCAATATGAAATCAAGCCTATTTATTAGTACAGATTGAGTGATTTGAAAACAGGAAAAAGAAAGCTATACAGATCAAAGTTACTAATCAAAAATAGCACAAACTGATATTTAATATTTTGCAGGAAAAGGGAAAAAAAGACCTGAACAATGAAAGAGAGCTATATCCCTAAATATATAACTACAAACTATGACAGAAACATACAATTTATACAATAATAAAAATAAAGTGTTACATAAATAGCTAAAACGATTTGGTTTATGCTGGGGTGTTATATGCAATTACTTCTATAGAAGCTCTATGTTGTAAATGTTTTTCATTGCTACCCATATGAGACTTTTCTCCACGCCTGTACTGGGATTTTATGTAAGGTGTTTTATTTTTCTCTTCACTGCTCTGTTTACTCTGATCCTTTGCAAGGCAACTTATTCCTGGCATTTTGAAACAAGTCAGTGTGCTGGTCATTTCACAGCATTGGAGTCTATAGTCTATTTGCTCCTTTCCCTTTTCTCAGTAGGACAATTAATTTAGTCAACTCTATTCTATGCAAACCGTACTCCCTAATGCTTCTAGAGAGCTCCAGCCCTTTGTTTATATCCTGTCCCTTTCGTTGTGGAATATTCTCCTTTTAAAACGATACCATTTTTTCAACAATAGATATGTTCAAAGGGAAGCCGAGCCGTTAGACGGATCTATTTGTTATCCACTGCAAAACTTGGTACAGCTAGATCTTGGTTTCTCTAAAGCACAGTTCGGGAGACCACACCGAGCACTATATAGCCGAACACAATGCAGGTTTGATTCTAGATTGTTTGCAGTGTAACTATAATTTTGAACGATTACTATTTTTCTGTCTGGTGACTTTTTTCCTGTATCGAACGAACCCCTATCGATGATGGCATGAACGTTGTTCAATTGAATATAAAAAGGACAATAATACATTTCGCTGCCCCGGAGTTAATTGATGGGAATTTGCAAGGTGCTAGGCAATACCGATTCTCAATCGATCACCAGTTCCTCTTCTCCTTAACTTTTATTTCAGTGTTCCTGCAGCAAAAGGGGCTTTTCGGTGCCTCCAACGCGTTAATATCAAGGGAAATGGTAAATTGCACCAAACGCGCTTTAAAAAACCGCCCACCAACCTCTTTTAAGTGATTAGATTTACCAGGGCAAACATGGAAGTGATCTCTCTCTCTCTCTGTCTCTCTGTCCACTTAGATTTGCAAACTTATGTTATTCTAGATAGAGACATAAATAGTAGCTCAAGATCATCTGTACTTTTTAAGAGAATGACTGGGAGATGTCTCTGCATGTGGGTATTTGCCTGGAGCTGAACACAAAATAAATGTCTAGAAGCAGAGAAATCAAATATTTAACTACTCCTTTTATTAAAAAAAACAACAACCCGGTGGACGATTTAATATCACATGAAACTATGCACGATTTTGGCCAATTGATTGGAACCAGCGTGAGTTTGGAAATACTCCAGTGAACTGGATTAAGGAGAACCCTGTCCTGGTTAAATAAGAAGCCAGAAGAAACAAATCTTTTTAGTATACACTGTATTGGAGGCCTCCCTCTGAAAATATTCCAACCAGCCTTTCTCGCTGATCTACTCAGAATCCTTCAAATACCCATCGAAAAATGTCTTCAGCATTTCTGTGGCTTCAATTAGGCAAGAATCTTATTTTATTTCCCCCTGTTTATTTTCATTCTATTTTGTGAAAAGGCCTTGGTAACTCGTAATTATTGAGATTTTAGAGTGATTTAAAATGAACTTTTGACTCTCTCATGACACGTGTCATACATAAGGCACACACACAAATAGACAAATATATGGGTGTGTGTATTGTGTGTCATCGGAGAGATGTTCATACAAAGTTTCTTTTCAATCTCTGTATACACACACGAATGTATCTATTTGTACATAAACATCTGTGCGTACATAATATACATCTGTGTATACAATATCTATCTATATCTATATTCATTTTTAAAAATAGAAGCATGCGCTCTTTTATTATCCTTACCTTCCAGCCTTTGTTATAATCATTTCTGTCCCCACTTCGTGAAATTTTAGCCACAATTCTCGTTCGTGTAAAAACACTTTGATCCCCTCCATGCCCTGCAAAGAAATAAGTTAATGAGTGAACACAGGAGAGGACGAGCTGCGAACTTTCCAAGAGCTGGGGGAAAACAGGAGACCCAGAAGAGGGATTGAACTTTGGCATGTCAGCACCGAGCGCTTCTGCTTTCTATACAGTCCTAACTGACGGGACATTAAAAGACTGTAACTCCCAGACCAGCGCGAAGGAATGATTCATTGAAGGGAAATCTCCAGGAAAAAAAAAATTCAAAGAAGCTGTTGCAAAGCCTTGCAGCGAGGAGACGGATTTCTGCCCAGCACCCGCTTTCGTAGGAGAAGTTTGTAGCCTTTCGATATGTGGCTAGAGATAGGCACGGGGCCAACTGCATCAAAACAGAACGTGCTGTTCGGGCAAGACAATGTGCGAGTTTACTAGAAGGAACATGATCCTGGGCAGAGGCGATTCGAAGAAAGAAAGAGAATAAAATACCGTGTGCAAAGCCAGAGAGGAGCCCCGCGCCCTTCAGTTCCTCTGCTGGTGGAAATGGGCCCTAGCTCCACCACAGACCATGCTTGGCACCAGCCGACCATGTAGCGCGATATATTTATATAGGTTGCAATGGCAGTGCGAGAACAATACACTATTGACAATAGAGCACCCGAGCCTGCGGTTCTTCACCCCCACCCCCCAAAAAACAAAACAAAACAAAAAACACTGCACCAGGAAAGAAGGATCGGGCCTCAAAATCGGTTTCCCCCTGTCACAGAATTAACGTGTGTGTATGTATATATATCTATATCTATCTATCTATATATAGTACGTCGAAAGAAATAATAATCGTATGGCATTTCATGAATATATTTTTTAAATCTACTTCTTCCTATATGATTTTTGCGCGCCCTCATCACAATTAAGATCTGAATAAGGATAGACTTCGGCTAGAATCTCTCTCCCCTCTCTAATAGTCATCTCACACTAATCATTTTCCATTTGTAGATATACCTGAGATGAAATCACATAGCTACATTCAAAACTTATTCAAGACTTTCCTTGGCTAGGCTACGCCCTGAGCCGTGTTGTGCTCTGTTTTCATTTAAAGGAAGGGGAATATTCGCTTAATCTCAGCCTTAACAAAAACTGCCCTGCATCGAATGGGCTGGGTTTAGACGAACAATGGTTTGTTCTAGTCCACGCGAGCCGAATCCTTGAGGTAGGCTCTAGTTTAAAAGAGCAAAACAATCCGTTCACTGGGCCGCCGGCGTCCTGGCCTACTCTCCTGTGAAATGGTTCGGTTCAAAGGCAGAGCGACACAATAATATCCGTCCACCGACGGGTACATGCTGGAGAGTCTCAAAAGAAATGATGAGCGCCCCTTCCCAGCAACACGGGGAGGGCACATTACTTCCCCAGTGCCCCCCAAACCCTTCAGCTTAAGGAAGAGAGGGTCAAGGAAAGGAGAGGGAGGCGCTGAAATATGCTGTGTATATGTGTGTGCATTGTGTATGTGATCGTGTGTGTGAGCATCGTGGATATGTGTACCTTTGTGTCTGTGTCCGTGAATGTTTGTATATTTGTGCGTGTGTGTGTGTGTAGATGGGAGTTTGCTTGTAATTACCATAACTAATTGTTCTTACAGCAGTTAGAGCTGGTCTAGTCTGACACTAGTGTTCAGTCTCATTACTTGACCCTGTGTGCCTAGAATGACCCATCTCTACAGCACAGAAACCCAGACAAATCTCCGCAACAATTCAACAAAAACCCAAACAGGGAAAAGACACTGCAAGCAGCGAATGCTTCTCGTCAGGTCTCTCCTCCTCCGCTTACCTGCTGGGTGAAAGCTGCCTGGGGAGAGGAAGGCGACTTGCTGCTGGCCCCTAGCTGACTATCTTGTTTGGTTTCAGATATAAGCTCTTTAGACTCGGAATCAGCTGGCGTGTTGGGGAGCCCAAAGCCTTCTTCAGCATCCGCCATGTTACAAGCTTCCTTCGCTGAGTCTCCCACTGCAGGCGTACACAGCAGAGAGGGAAGATAAGAGAGACATAAGTCAAAGCTGGCATTTAAGAAAATGTATCGAGAGAGCTATAGATATAGACCACCTTCTCCCCCAGCACGCCCTCTGGCAGCAACTCCTCTTCATCTGCCCGGAGAGAAAATATTGGACCCTTTAACCGGTGGGGGCAAAGAGAAGACTCGACTTTATTATTCCAGTCCGCAGGGAAGATTAATTTTTTTATCAAACATCACACACACACACACACACACACACACACACACACACGAGGAAAAGATTAACAATATAGGTTAGCTGCCCTTCTAGTAAGCTGTTGGCTAAATATATCTGGAAAGGCCAATCGAGATAAGAAAGCGGGTATTTTGTTTTTTTGGGAAGGCTAGCGTGGAATTAATAGCCTATCACAGATTTCACCTTTTTAAAGAAAATGTACAAGCCTGACTGGTGAGCAACTGACCACCCTTGATTTTTATTCTGATAATAGTGCCCATTCATGGAGCCATCTACAGCTGATATTGCTTAACATGATTCCTTGGGAGAACTGAATTCCTCCAAAGGGCGCTTTACCCTCATGGAGACGGGAAGCAAATGATAAAACCTCATTTGCAAAGAAAAATGAAGTCCCCTTGCAAATGCAAACCGTGAAGCAATCAACATTCTCCCACGAAAGTGCCTTCTCCATTCAGGTGCAAGCAACGTGTGAAGTTGCCTTTAATAGATAAATATCAAGTAGTGTCACTGTAGTAGAAGTGACGAATAAATACATAAAATCAAGCCATTGTATAATTTCATGTATTAAATGTATCTGTCAGTTACACTTGCAGCTAAATTGATCTAACCTACAATATTACAGCAGAAATGCAAAATCGGAGAAACTAAACTGAGAGAAAAACTTCAATCAAATACTAACAGTAAAAAGTGAATTTCAAAGATGCTGCCTAAAGGACAATTTAAAAACAATGAGGGATAAAAGCGATTAAATTGCCTGTTTTCATTCTCTCTCTCTCTCTCTTTTAAGGTTTCAGAGCTTTGGTGCCATTTTAAATCTTTTTACACATTTAAAACAATGTCCCAGAGTCGTTTTTAAAAGCCAGGTCAGGTGGAGAAAGTGACCTGTTTTAAGCGCAATAAATGGCTTCTCCAGGAGCTCTCTCCTTCCCTCCCCGAATTTAAAGTGCCCTCTTTAAATATGAATCCCCACTTATAGTCTCCTGTAAGTATCGAGACGTGACGTGGTGGGTTTGCACTGGTGCTGGTGGGCGAAAAAGACGAATTAAAACAAAACGTGAAGGGGGACACATGCCACTTCCCTCTCCAAAGATCATTTTATAAAAGGATCTCGCTTTCCCTCCCCCCCCCATTCAAATGCTCCTTTCCCATAACGCACAAGGCAGCTGGTTTGTAATAAGTGGCTGAAGGGCGAAGTGGGAGGGGGGGAGGTCTCGGTGCAGCGAAGGTGTGTGAGAATTGCGTGTGTCGGGCAGAAGGGGACGATACACGGCTGCTGGATGTGATGTCTCACGGCTCCACTCGAGCCATGAACGCTAATGGCAACTGTGTTGTTCCAGCCCCGCCAGAGCCAGGGACCGGCTCAGGCTCCCGTCGCTGGGCTGCTGTTTTCACTCCGCTTCTCAGCGAGCTCTAGACAGCCTCCCTGAGCCATTTTTAATCGGCTTCTCTCGCCCGCCTGTCTCTGTTCTTCACCCGCGACCGGCCAAGTTGGAAATAAGGCCCGTTCGTTAAAACAAAGAGCCCAGCGCCGGGGCGGCAGCGGCAGCCGAGCCGGCTCGCTCCACACGTCGGCAGTTTTAAACATAATGAAGCAGAAGGGGGAGGGGGGGCTGGAAAAATAACCACCGCGACTCAGCCCAATTTGAGATCAGCCCCCCCCCTTACGAGCGCCAGAGAGGAAATGGGGCTTGACAGAACCAGGCCTCGATCGCTCTATGAAAAATGCATCTTACGCTGCTAGCGAGCACCAAAGTGGGTTAGCAACAAAAACCCCCTTTCCTTTTGTTCCATCGTTTATTTGTGTTTCTCTCTCCCCCCCCCCCCCCCCCATCTCCCAGGAGGTTACCTGGGAGGAAACCCCTTTGCTGGTTTCCTCCCACAGGCCTTGGCATTCCTTGGGAAAGACAATGTCTGTGTAACAATGACCCCCCTGCCAGCACTTTCCTCTCGCTGTCTCCCCCACACACACACACACACAGACAGTGACGGACAGACAGGGCAATGGAAGATCCGTTACCTTACGTGTTGAATTCAATGCAATCAACGCATTTCCATTACTTCCCCCCCCTTGCCATGGCAATGAGTGGCATCAGGCTTCTGCTTTGCATGTCCTTGAATGTATTTATGGTCAGACCCGCATTTTATTTTTGTAAAGCACAGCCTGGTGGGGGGGAAAAGCTCTCCAATGCAACACTGTCTCTGGCCCTCTTTCTCGCCAAACACTTCCAGGTTGTCAGACGCACCAGAAAGGATCCTGAGACCGAGATAAAGCCTTCCTTCTCGGCCTGATCGGGCGGGTCCGGATTCTCCCCCACCCAGCCCCCTCCTAAGGACTGGGGGGGCGGGGGAAGGGAGAGAGAGGGGAAGACGACAACCCAAAGTTGAGAGAGGGCGGTCGCTGTGTAGCAGGAGTAGCCTCCCCCGGCAGGTTTGTGATCCTGGCTAGTCCCCTCTCTCTGGAGAGCAGAGCGCGCTGCACATAGGAAATCGCTGCCGAGCGGAGTGCGGTGACGTGGGGTCGGGCTCGGCTTTGCTCGCAAAGTGCTGAGCTCTTCTGTCCAACCAGCTCTGATCCTGCTCCGAGTCTCTCTCTCGCCACCCCCCCCTCCCCAGCCTATTCTTCTGGCAGGCAAACAAGAACAAGGCACAAAGACAACCATCAAACTCACCAGTAACCCCCCCTCCCCTCCCTGCCTCCTTCCCCACTCCCTCCCTCCCTCCTCCATCCATCTTCCCCAACCGGAGAGAAATTTCAAAGCTTGTGAATCCCCCAAAGAAACCGTTGGCTTCCCTAACACAAACCATACATCGACCCCTCTCCCATCCCCCCCCCCCAGCACGCAGTCCCCCAAACACCCCTGAATATATAGGTTCATATTTTAAACCAACTCACGAAAAATATTTTCTAGTTCTCTTGGGGGCCTTTGACATATGAAAAAGGGACTCGTTGACCCAAGCCAGGCGGGATAAAAGGGATACCCAGGGCAAAGAAGGAACCAAGGCACCTCGTTACTCAACCGCCTTAAATCCAAATGGGTTTAACACAAAACGAAGGGGGTGCCTAGCATTTTGTATGGTATCTGCAGAAAGATCAAAGCGCTTTTACAAAATAGATCCTCCCTCCCTCCTCTCTTGACCCCCCACCCTACCCCACCTTTGCAAAGCGAGCAGGAATTCTCCAGCCCTTCCACTGCGAGATGCAAAGATATACAAAAGCGCAGAGGCTCTGCTGTATTAAAATAATCAAGCCGTCAGTCGAGAAGCGGGGATGTGTTTTTATCTGCATCTTCCTTCTCTCTCGCTCTCTCTTTTTAATGTATTATTTTGAGGGTAAAGTTGAATAGGTCAACGCAGGGTAAACAGCCGCCCTGTCGCATTCTACAGCCTGAAGAGAACCAGATTGGTGGGTTGTATTTTTGATAAGAGTTGGAATAAATGGCATGGTTTAGATCTTTTTCTTTCTTTCTTTCTTTCCAAGTAGGGTTTGACAGAAGCTGAAAAATCGACCCAGACTTCCACCAACAAGCCCCTGGAGTGCTAATTCTGGATCCCTATGAAAGTTTGAGGTGAAGTGGGGATAAGACAACGTTGTGCAAAATGTGTGCGTGTGTGCGTGCGCGCAGTTTGGCATCTGCTTAAACCTCTTCACGTGTCCTCCAGTTTAATTGCAACTTGAAAAGAATTAGCAAAGTAGTAGTAAATTCTTTTAAAAATGTGCATAGCTGAACCTACCGTTACAACCAACAAATCAGAGACCGGTATTATAACATATTATTTTCTTATTATTTTTAAAAGGGAAACTATATGCAGAGCAATGCACAAAAAAAAGTATTTCCCATAAATATTGTAAATGTCAGAATAAATCAAGCTGCTTCTTTGGCCTTAGCATGAACATGCCTGCTGTTTATCTTGTAAAATTCATTAGCTCAAATCTCTGTTGCTGTTAAGTAAAGAGAATGACATTTCTGCCTTTCTGCAGCCCCCAAGTGCTTTCTGGATGAAAGTTTCCAGGTAAGCAACTTGGAGGCACCATGTCAGGTCTCTTGTATATTTTGTAACCATTAACTTGTTTATAAAATCCCAGAATTGCACATGATCTCAAAATAGTGAAGATCAGAAATGGAATTCTGCTAGTAAAAATTGAGATTTTAAAAAATAAAGTTAGAAAGTTGCATCCATAGGATGGTTGTTTTCCAGTAGCATGAATGGAAAGAAATGCAAAGGGAGATGATCTAGTCTAAGGTGCAATCCACAACGTGGGACAGAACGATCAAACACCGGGCAATGCTTCTGCCTTTAGGCTCTAATATTGCAATGGAAACACTCACCTCTCCAAATCCAAACTAGCTTTTTCAAGGACCTTGAAGAAAAGTTGCAAACGACGCTGATAAATCGCGTTTATTTCCTTCTGCAGGTTGGAAAAAACAATAATCTAGGAAAAGGACCTCAAGCCCAGGCGCTATAGGGCTGTATAGAGAAGGAGCCTTCCAGCTAGAAGCCGATTTGTGGTCTCAGACAAATTAAATATTACTGTTTATTACCAGCCATACTCCAATAAAATAAAGAGAGTTCAAGGCGATAGCTGCTATCTCACCAGCCCTTGCACCTATAGGACTCAGAGACGTCATCATACACGCAACTGGCCCATTCTATCATGGTTGACTGCAGCAGTAATGGAAGGTTAATTTGTATTCTTCTTTTCCTTTAAAGCCCTATCAGCTAGGTTTCCCCCTTTGCAAAGAAACCACTCAGTGCAATGCAAAATGCAGCCAGCCTGGGGGAAAAATATAACCAAACAAACGTGCTTAATACATTTAAAGGGGAAGGACTGGAAAATCCGAGTGCTGTCTTGGAATGGAAGAGGAAAATGACCATTAAAGCCGTTGGCTCTCCCAGATCAACTCCGTTAATCCCATGGTACTGGCACGGTGCAGCTTACTTTTTTAAAAATGTACAATTAGTATTAATAGGAAAACTTGTCACTGAATGTTGAGGCGCCTCTGAAAGCCCCCCAGGGCACGGGGCTGTATATAGTAAAGGATACCCCGGTTATTGGCACAGATTCGAGTGTGCTTCGGAGAACTATTATCTGCCATGATTCATGATAATAAAAATGGTAAATCGAGGCGGTTTCTTGACAATAGAAACTGACCGGAAAAACTTCTCCTCTCAAACTCTAATGAGTCGCTGCAAATGAATAGCCAGAGCATGTAACCCAGATCTGTTAAGCTGGTGCAGTTTTGTGTTGCATTTCACCTCACCCTCTCTGGGGCACAAAGATTTTCCAAAAAGCTGCTAAAACATTGTGTCCTCCACCAGAGAGAGATCGGAAGAGAAATCAAGAGGAGAGAAAATAAATTGGACACCATACGGCCCCAGGAAAACCCTAGATACAAAGCAAGAAGTTGTTGCAGGATCTGTGGACTTCAAGGTAAGTGAATACCGCAGAGACCCAGTGAGCTTCCCAGCTATTGTTTCACTGATTCTCTGCCCTACAGTTCCCCCTGTTTCATGCAAGTGACCTGGCTTTTTCTGGTGGTTGAGTTTGTTCCCCGACTCCCCCTCCCCCCCAAACTGCCCCAGATTTTCATCCAGAGAACCACATTGGGGCTAGTGCTTCCCGGTACTCACCGGGCTAAAGAAACAGCGGATGCGGACTGCAGCATTCCAAGCAAACAAGAGCAGAACAGAGTGAAGGCCGGTTAAAAAGCAATGCCACCCCAACTCTGGGGGGGACACCCCCACAGATCGGCCCAGCAGGGCAATTGTCGCTTTTAATCACCAGGAAAACCGACTCCGTGCTCCCCGATCGAGTTCAGAATACACAAACACGCTCGTTTGCCCAGAGTGGATTGAGTCCCTTTTTATGGAGAGCCAATGTCGGACAATTTAGCAACAATCTCACCAGAAAAGTTTTGCTTCACAGTTGGTCCTACTTTGCCCTAGGCTGCATCAGGCTGGCATTTACTTGTGTATAGTTGCAATTTCAGTTTTAACCTTAAGTGTGCTCTTCATCTCGAAGGGTCTTGACGCTGTTTTATTTAAAATGAAAACAATGCCCATTCACACACTGCACTGGTGCTGATATTGCCCCGCACTCCCGGCCCATAGATTGAAATTTACAGATTCCTATTAGCTGGAGGAGAAGGAGGTACCGAGTAGCTGCAATTACTTTTGAAGCCTTCTCTCCTACACTAAAATAATCAGACCAACTCCCGGTGTCGACAATGAACAAGTTGACTTGCTGCCTTTTCATTCCAGCAAGGAACCTTTCTACTCAAGCAGGTTGGAGATTTTTGACTATTTTTCCTTTAGGGTTTGCAAACAATGTCAAATATGCTTAAAAACTAAGCAACGGGAGATACAGATCTGTGTGCGTATGTATACGCGCGCACACACCTAAGCACATACATCTACCGTATATCTATACCCACACATATTGTGTTTCTTCTGTTGCTCGTTTGTTTACTCATACTTGGTGTGTGTGTGTGTGTGTGTGTGTGTGTGTGTGTGTGCATATATTTAGATATAGAGGTAATCACATTCTGTGTATGTATATATGTAGGGGGGTGTGTGTGTGCATATATTTAGATATAGAGGTAATCACATTCTGTATATGTATATATGTGTGTGTGGGGGGGGGTGCATATACATCTGTATATACTGTGACATTCTCTCACTTTATTCACAGGGCTGGACCCTTGTCTTCTCTATTCCAGCAATAACACCCATTGACTTCAATGGGAATGTTGCCTGAGTAAAGATTACAGGGTCAGGCCTACAAACATAACCTTTGAACGGGGGCGCCTTTGGGGAGCCTGCGGTGCCTACAATGTCCCGCATATATTCCCAGTGGTATTGCATTTAGCTGGAAACAGCGGCAGTACCCATGCAGCTCGTCTGACAACTTTATATTGTGTCAGTCGCATTAGTTACTGGTTTATCTAAATATTTACTCGGGGAAGGAAAGCTGATGTCTGGCAGTGGGTCGAGATATCAAGAAAAAGAAATAATCCCTATCTGGGATCCCCTTTTTGGTAAAGGATTTCCCATTTTAGGGTGACATTTGAACATTTTAGGAACAACATGATATTCACAAAATAAGGGAGTGTACCAGAATGCACTGGGAGTGTATCAAGAAATAATTACCGCTCTTTTTACTTTTCCATTTTCTCTTTCGACTTCTCTGAAACAATCAATGTCTCCGAAACATGAGAGCAACTTCTTTCTTTCTTTCTTGGAAGTTGGCTACAACACCTGTCTATTTATACATTGGTGGAAATATGTCTTTTAAAAGTTTCTTAAGTATTTAAAGAACTTCACTCTTTCCTAAATTGCTGGGGCTTTGACTTAATGGATTAATT